AAACTGTGTTATGCCAATTGAGCTAGATGTTCCCCAAGACCATGGTCCCCACAGCCCTCCACCCAGCAATTCAGTCCCTCAGGGAATTTGGATGTGTCTATGGAGCTTCCATGAGCTTTCCTTGTACAAGTTGTGCTGGCTTCCCCAGTATTGTGTACTGTCTCACCCTTCACCAAAGTTAGTCTTGTTTTGTTTTACACATTTCCTTTTAAAAGACCAGCGTGAATGGTTGTTAGTTCCCAAACCACCCACTTCGGCCTATGTTGCTCAAATCGCGTGAAAGATACACAACGATTTCACACTTTAACCTTATATGTAATCGTTTTTCATGTTGAATTCTGGACTGAAATGGCAGGAACACTTAATGAATAAAGTAAAATTAAGGACTCACCCATAAGACAGTCCTATTCCATCTACTAGAGATCTGGACCAACATATTTCTAAACTAATGACGGTAACTCCAGTACCCTAGGGCAGACAATCTCCTGGGAGACCTTCTGTTTTGCAGGTGGTTCCTTGATAATCTTTTTTTCTTTTTCTCTTTGGAACCGTGTGTTAGCTGCTGTGACCACCTGTTGCTTCTTCCCAGGTTTCTCTCTTTCCTAATTCAGTGCTGAGCTGTGTGATTTCATCCTGTTTCCTTTAATTTGATTTTTGAAAGCAATAATGAACTTTTTGAGGTTTCCAAAGGCGTACTGTTTGTATCAAATTGTTTCCCCTGTTGCCATAGGTCACAGAGAACTGAAGGGACGTTGGTATAAATTTCTGAATAAGTTTAGACACTGGTTTGCCTGAACGTTTGTAGGCTGAAGTGTGGGATTTGTTGCTGGGGAGATGGTGAAAGTGAGAAGTAGCCTGTGAAAATGTCGCCACAGAAATCAGTGGTGGAGCCTGGGAAATGGCAATAGGAGTAACGGGGCAGGGTAACTCTTACGAGGTATGGCTTACAAATTGGTTGGACATATCCGATTCTCGATGGGGTGATCTAAAATTATTTTGATACAAGTGAATGATTTTGAAAGGAAAAGTGCTTTTTAGTTTGTAAAACTGTGTTTTTTTGAGAACATTGTAAATATACATTGTTACCAGAGTCAGGTATTTAAATTCTTTACGTGTGTATTTATATGACTTTAAATGTTTAGGAATAAAGCTGTTAATCTCATAAACTATCTTACCTTTGCCCACAGGATGGTGAAACACCACTTATAAAGGCTACCAAGATGAGAAATATTGAAGTAGTAGAGCTGCTGCTAGATAAAGGAGCTAAAGTATCTGCGGTAGATAAGGTAAAAATGTCTGTTCAGAGAGAACACTTTTTCGAAGGCCATTGGCTGACCTGTATATCTAGAGAATATAATTTTCTTCTGTGGAGGGGAGAGTATGTGCTGGGGTTATCTGTATGGGGACTTGATGCTATGATATCATCTTGATTATTCTGATAGCATGCTGAGAAGTGGTCAGGCCCAGTGCTATTTTTTTTTTTTTTAATAATAACTTTATTTATTTGTTATTATTGTTGAGAATATACACAGCAAAACATACACCAATTCAACAGTTTCTCTTTGTACCGTTTAGTGACATTGATTACATTCTTCGAATTGTGCAGCCGTTCTCACTCCCCTTTTCTGAATTGTTCCTTCTCCACTAACATAAATTCACTGCCCCACTAAGGTTCCTATCTGATCTTTCAAGGGGAAAGCTCTCAGTGTTTCTTCCTTAAGTATAATGTTGAATGTTGGCTTTTCACAAATGCCCTGAATCATATTTAGGAATTTTCCTTCTATTCCAATCTTCTTTAGGGTTTTCATCAAGAAAGGGTGTTGGATTTTATCAAATACTTTTTCTGCATCCATAAAGATAATCGTGTTTTTTTTTTCCTTTGTTCTGTTGATGTGGTGAATTATGTTGATTGATTTTCTAATGTTGAACCATCCTTGCATTCCTGGAATAAATCCCACTTGGTCATGGTATATGACTCTTTTAATATGCTGTGGGATCTGTTCACTAGTATTTTGTTGAGAATTTTTGCATCTGTGTTGTTAAGAGATATTGGCCTGTAATTTTCTTTTCTTGTGGTATCTTTGTCTGGTTTTGGTATTAGGATTATGTTTGCTTCATAGAATGCATTAGGTAGTATTCCTTCCTTCTCTATCTTCTGGAAGAGTTGAAACAGCATTTGGCTCAGTTCTTCTGTAAATATCTGGTAAAATACACTCCCCCCGCCCCCCGCCGTATGCTGTTAAAGAAACTGCTTCAGATCTCCTTTCTGTTGCTGACAGCAGTTATGGGGAGCTCCTGTTTTAACCACCATTGAGGATGTCATCATGTGTAGAGCTTGTTGCAGATAATCAGGAGGAAAGAACCTGAAGGGGCTAGAGAAGACGGACTCTCAAGCCAGACTGGCATTAATGTTTACTAACAGGAGATAAAATGTTTTGCCATATATCCTTGTTATAATCCTTTTAGAGACATTTTCATATTTTCCACATTAAATTTAACTTTAAATTGCTTAATACTTTATGTACAATAGATTCCTGGTTTTAGTTAGTTTTAATTTTAGACAGGGCTATTTCTTTCTCTACTTCAGTTCATTTCTGGAAAAGAAATGAATTGATTTTTGTCTTATGTAAGGAGTATTGAAAATTTTTCCTTTGAATAGATGATATAATTTGGATTTTCTTCATAATATATTGTCATTCTATTACTTATGAGGCAATTAAACAAACAAAAAACATGGAACCAGTATGTGTTAGCTCCTTATTTTACCAAGTAAGGACAAACAAAAATAAAAACTCTCCCATCTATCATTACCATATTAACATCATTTCATGGAAAAGAAAATAAATGGTAATATTAAAAAGTAGGAAGGACATAAGGTCAAAGAAGAGTTTTTTAAATTGAATTTGTTAGCTTTAGAGAAAACTTCCTATATTGCCTGTTTTTCTCATTCTTCTGCTGACTTATATTTGGCACTGGTCCTCTAATTTTCAGTAAGGAACTAGTGGAATAATGACCTTTAAGATTTCATATAGCCTCATTAATTCTGTGATACGCTATTTATAAACAATTACTTCTTACTCACTAGGAAGTTTCCGGAATGAGTATGTCTCAGTATTTCTTTGTGTGTATCTGTACCTTGAGTCAGTGTGTAATACTTGCTGACAAGTACTTGGAACAGTCGTTCATTCATTCAGCACATCCTTATTGAGGGCCTATGACAGATAAGGTGCTTCCCTGCCAGAATTTGGGACAGAAACTTGTGTAAGTCTTGAACCAGGTTCTTCACAGAGGATTTCATAAAAATAATTTAAGAATAAAGATTAGTATTTTTACCTAGCTTATCACTGCTGTCTGTTTATGCTCAGTTTATCAGGAGGATGTATTAATGTCTTCCCTACATTTTCAGAAATTTCATTTCTGGCAGAATGCTCCTGGTGTGATATTTTTGCCTTCTAACAGGTTTGGGGATGAGAAACAGGGTTAAGGTGGGAAAATAAGATGATAAAATCAGGTTTTGATGTGTTTAGTTTGAGGACAGATAAGACATTCTGGAGGCAGTGACCAATCAGTATTAGGAAGTATGGGACTAGAATTTGGGCAAGAAATCAAAGCTAATGATGGGAATTTGGCAGTCAGTTACTGAGATGAGAGTTGCATGGGAGTGTCTAAGATCATCAGTGGGAAGAAAGATGAAAGCAGAGGTCAGAATTTTACTTCTCTTACGGTGTGTCATAGTCTAGTTTGTTTTATAGTTGTGTATATTTATCCAGCGTCTCCCTGCTCGATTATAGGCTTTTTAAGGTCAGAGACTGTTTTATCTTTTATCTTCGTATCCTCCAAAATAGCCAACACTGTGCTTTACATATAGTAGGAGCTCAAAATTTTTTTGTTGTTAAATAAATAGGTGCCATGTTTAGACTATAGGAAGAGAATTTAGAAAAGGAAGAAGTAGGTATAGAAAGAAGGGGAAAATCAAAATCAAGATAAGATTGTGCCATAGAAGCCAGAGGAAGAACATTGCAGGTCATTTTTCTTTAGTGTTATAGAGAGGTCAGGGTGGATTAGAACTGAGGATTTAATTTGTTAAATATTGGCTCATTGGTTTTCTTCAAGATATGTTTATAGGTCACGTATGAGAGAGCAGTTTGCAAACTGAAAAGGTCTTTTACATACTAGTTTTCATTAATGTTGGATGAAATCCAACTCAGATTACTAACAGGTAAGAATTTAGTTACTATTGAGGAAATGAGGCACTGAGTTGAGTGTGGAGAACTTTTTTTCATGGAATTTAATAGTGAGAATGCTAGAGGAAGGGTAGTTTAATAGGATAATGGGATATGGGTAAAGACTTAGAGATCAGATGATGGGAGTGTTTTGTGACACATGAAAATGAGCCAGAGCAGAGATCAAAGGTGCTATGGGGGAAAGAGTTGACTTAATAGGACAGAATTAAGCCCAAATGTAAGGGTTGTTTCTTTGACATAGGAAGGAAGAAGTAGAGAAGGAAACTAAGGATGAGTGAAGAAACAGAAAGGAAGGTGTGATGTTGGTAAGAAAGGGGATGTTCAGGAGGGAAGCTTTTTGAAATCAGTAAGATGTGAGGTGAGGCTATATAGGCTTATAGCGAGGAGGTATGGATGAGACTGGGGAGATTTGAGTATGAAAAACAGTTTGAAATGGTTAATGGTTGGTGTGCTGTGTATAGTTAACATGAATTAGGGAAAGGAACTACAAACAGTAAAAAGCATAGAAGACTGAGGTTGGATGGAATGCCAGCTTCCTACTTAATCTCTCTACCTCAAGTCTCTTCCCTTCTCTAACTATACGTCATATTGACCCAGATTTATTTTTCTGAAAGCGAAATATAACATTACCTTATTTACCTTGGAAGAACTTTTGATGAGTCTTCATTTCTTCCAAGGTATAGTCCAATCTCCTCAGAATGGATACAAGCAAGATTTCTTATAATCTGACTTCTTACCTTTCCAGCCTCATTTGCTATCATTTTCCCTACATGCACACCTGTACTCCAACACATTGAATTATTTATTGTACTCTTGAACACACCACCTTCTTTTATCCCTGTTTTTGTTATACTATTTTCTCTGCCTGGATTTTTCCTTCCTTCCCTTGTCTACTTGGTGAGCTTGCAGTCAGCTCACTTTTTAAGACCTGGTTAAAATGCTGTATCTGTTTATGAAAGATTTATATAGAATTCCAGGCAGGATTACTCTGATTCCTGCATCCCAATAGTACATTACACAAGCCTTTGTTATATCACTTTCTATATTGAATTGTAATTTTCTGTTTTCCTGACATTTTCCCACTTAATTGTGAACTACTTGAATGCAAGGATTCAATGAATATCTGAGATGAATTGATTTTTATAGTGGATTCATTATTTTCTTTAGCAGTTCTCTGCAGTGTAGCACTGGGATCAGAAGAAATGAATGCAAGGAGGGGGAAAAGGGCTGGACACTAGTATAGAGAAGCCATGTGATGATGACTGGGGGAAGGACTCCAGCCTGTTGGAGAGTACGGCATTGGGGTGGCTGGTGAAGCCAGCTCATTAGGAGAGAAGGACATGTTGAAGTGGCTGGAGATTGCATTGAGGGAATAAGGTAGATTGATGTCAGAAAGGGTGAGTAAGAAGGAAAGGTAAAAGATGAAGAGAATGGAAGCGGTTGTAGAGATAGTAGTCAGAGAAGGGTAAATATGACATAAAGGGCTCAGAGATAAGAATGTAGAATAATGAAGTTTTATATGGTGGATGATTGACAGAGGTCATAGAAATGGACAAGATCACTGTTGTTAGGTGGCATATCAGCATGGACTTTGAAGCCTTCTAGACAAAATAAGAAAGCTGTGAAATAGAATACAAATCAGTTGGGAACCGTGGTTTACATCCTTGGACAATAAATGTTTGGATGATGGATGGATAACAACCTGTGAGACAAGTGAATCCATGTCCGGGGAGGAGCCAGAAGGAGAAAGCCTGTTTCTTCTCTTTCAGTGAGTTGAGGGAAAGAGAGAAGAATGACTTTTAGTCTAGAGGAATATGGGGAAAAAGTTAAACAAGGAGTTAGAGAAAGAAATTGTGGGGAAAGAGAGAGATAAAAATTAGTATGTGTACTCCATTAATATGTGTAATGTTACATATAAATCTCTAAAATATGAAAAGCTCAAATTTTCTATTTTACAGAAACATGAGCATTGTTACTATTTACATGTATATTCTATATGTAAAAAAATATGGAAGTTCATGTTTTCTCCCATTATTTTACAGAAAGGAGATACTCCTTTGCATATTGCTATTCGTGGGAGGAGTCGGAAACTGGCAGAACTTCTTTTAAGAAATCCAAAAGATGGACGGTTACTTTATAGGCCCAACAAAGCAGGCGAGACCCCTTACAACATTGACTGTAGCCATCAGAAAAGCATTTTAACTCAAATATTTGGAGCCAGTAAGTAATGGGTTTTGTTTCTGTCCAAGTTGTTAAAAAGTTACTGTTCTGTTAAAAAAAAATGTGAAAAAATAAAACACTTTGCATTTGTCAGTTAACTGGAGAATATAAAAGTTGAGAAAGTTATTATTTTACTGTGGAAAATACTCCTCCCTGTTTAAAACTCTTGTATTATAGCATTCTAAATTAAATACATTCAAGGTCACCAATCAGCTTTTAAAACCTCTACAAAATTTAGCCAACTTTTCTAAAAGTCTTTCTCCGATTATTCTTCCAGTTGTACATTATGCTATTATCAAAATGTACTGTTTTCTGAATGTAGCCAAGCATTTACAGTTCCATACCTTTGCTTATCTTTTGTCTACCACAGCTAATACCCTCTCTACCTCCTCTCTGCTTGTTAGAATCATATCCATTTTTCAAGGTTCCTATCAGTTGTCCCTTTCTCAGTGAAATTTTAACTAATCCTTTTACTTCATTTGAATATATAAGCACTTTCTTTATACTTACTTTTTTATACTTACTATGTATGGCCTTTTATTGTATTTCTTTTAGAATTTTCTCCCTTATATCCAACTTCTTCAGGTCAGGGACTGTTTCTTCTTATCTTTGCGTCCTCTGTAACATCTAGCACAGTGTCTTAAATATTGTACTAAAATAGTTTTTGATTGAAAAGAACGTACTTGAGAATGTTATCATTCCTAGGTGGGACTTTGAAATAGAAAATGATTTTCTACTGGAATCAAAAAAGGAATATGTTAGTTCCAGAAACCAACAGGAGATGGTAGAATCCTCCTACTTTTCAAGTTTACCTTCTTACTCAGATCTTGTTTTTAAGTATGGTTCTCTTGTATTATGAATTTTTGTGTTTTAAAATATTTTTGTGATTATAATAGTAATGTACACGTATTAAATTCGAAGAATGAAGATACGAATATAGTAAAAAGTGCCAATTCTCTGTTGTCTGTCATCTACCTCTCAATTTGTAATTGTTTGAATAACCCGCCAGACTTGTCTTTACCTTTGTAAAAATGTTTTATTGGGTCATAGCATATTATAAAACTTTAAAAAAAATTTTTTTTTATTGTGCATTAGGTGAAAGTTTTAGAGCAAATTAGTTTTCCATTCGATAGTTTATACATAAAGTGTTCCATAACATTGGTTTCATTCCCCACAATGTGTCAGCACTCTCCCCATTTCTGTCCCAAGTTCTCCATTTCCTTTTGTCCTGATTTCCTGCCCCTTCCTGCCTTCTTTGCTTTTGGGCAAATATTGCGCTTTTGATCTCTTATAATTGATTGTTCTGAGGAGCGTGTCCCTGCCAGGTGTTATTGTTTATTTTATGGGCCTATCTATTGCTTGGCTAAAAGGTGGTTACAAGTTTTTAATAATGAACTATATCATATTTTAATTGTTATATAATTTTTCATTGTAGGTTCTAACTGTGTATTCAGTCCTCTATATTCAGTTAGTTTTGCTGTTACAACTAGTACTTCAGTGAACATCTTTAGCCATATATCCATATTTTTAGGATTATTTTCTTGGGATAAATTCCCAGAAGTAGAATTACCAAGTCACCAGATGCCGACAGTTTTGATAGATTTTCCAAAGTTGTTGCAACAGTTTCTTCTCCCTTTGGCCGTATGTGATAATGAAATTTCCCTACAACCTTGCCAACACTGGGTATTTCCAGCCTTCTAAGTTTTGCTAATTAGATCAATAAGAAAAAAAAATCCCATTTTAAAACTATTAGTTAAATTGAGATCTTTTAAAATGTTCATAGGCTATTTATAATTCTGCCATTTTCCTCTTTGTATTTTTGCCCACTTTTTTTGTGAGTTTTTAAAAAATTTATTTTTGGTGTCTTTATATGTTATGGATATTGATCCTGGTTCCATCTTAAATGTTGCATCCCTTCCCTCCCCAAGTTTATTCTTTGTTTATAGTGATGGCTTTTAATTCCCCATTTAAAAATTACACATTTTTGTAGCTTATTCTGTCAGTCTTTTCCTATAGTTCTGCCCTTAGTATTTTACTGATGAAGAAGGCCTTTTCCATACAAAGATTTAGAAAGTTTTTTTTCCTATATTTTCTTCTAGTACTTATATGGTTTTTACTTTTTATATTTAATTTTTTAATGCTTCAGAAACTTATTTTAAGGTATGAGACTTGTGGAACGGGTGGCTAACTTTCCCAATACCACTTACTCATTCATCCTTTAGCCATTCATTTGAAATGCTGTTTATGCTAATAGCTTATGCCAGTTCTATGATGTTCTAATTGTTGTAGTTTTATAGTACCTTTTGATTCTCCAATGACAACTATCCTTTGGTAGTCTTAAAAAATTTTTTTCTGTTAGCTATTCTTATTTGCTCTTCTTAACTTTTCTTGGGATTTTGATTGGAATTGCTTTGAGGTGATAGATTAATTTTGGGAGAATTACTATATTTAAATTGTTGAACCTTTCTGTCTGGAACCATGGAATATCTCTGTTTTTCTCATCTTCTGTTATGTCCTTCAGTAACAGTTTGTAGCTTTTTTTGTATGGTTCTCAAAAACCAACCAAACCCACTGCCATCGAGTCAATTCCGACTCCACGTATTACATTTATTCTTACGTACTAGTTTATGTTTTAATTACCATATTTTATTGATTCTGAAATGCACATTGTTCTGCATTTTAACATCTTGGAAATTGGAATGTGACCTATAATTGATGGATAAGACAGCAATTATATCACAGTTTGGCAGCATTTTTTCTTTTTTAGTTGTGTATAATAATGATGCCTCTTACCATCGACCGCTCTGACCCGGATCATAGTAAAGGGTCTCAGACAGAGTGGGAGAAAAATGTAGAAAAAAATTCAGATTCACAAAACAGACCAGACTTACTGGTCTGACAGAGACTGGAGGAACCCCTGAGACTGCGGCCCCTAGATACCCTTCTAACTCAGAACTGAAGCCACTCCTGAAGTTCACCTTTTAGCCAAATATTAGACAAGTCTATAAAACCAACAATAACACCTGTTATTAAAACAATCAAGTATATGAGTCCAAATGGGCAACACCTGCCCAAAAGCAAGGATGAAAAGGCAGGAAGGGGCAGGAAGACCTGGTAAATGGAAATGGGGAACTTGGCGTGGAAAGGGGGAGAGTGCTGATACACTGCAGTGATGGCAGTCAGTGTTACAGAACAATTTGTATATAAGTTATTGAACGGGAAACTAATTTGCTCTGTAAACTTCCACCTAAAGCACAATAAAATGTTAAAAAAAAATGATGCATCTTACAATCAATAAGTGTCTTACGTTGAACTATGGTATTAATCTAAGAATTTTTGTACCTATTTTTATATAGATCTAAACATTTCAAATAAAGTTTCTTTCTCTAATTAAATAAATAATTGACAAATAAGAATTGATATTCCTAATAGTAATGTCACTTTTTAATGTAAATATGGTGTGTTTATAATTGCAGGACACTTGTCTCCTACTGAAACAGATGGTGACATGCTTGGTTATGATTTATATAGCAGTGCCCTGGCGGATATTCTCAGCGAACCTACCATGCAGCCGCCCATTTGTGTAGGGTTGTATGCACAGTGGGGAAGTGGAAAATCTTTCTTACTCAAGAAACTAGAAGGTAAAGGGTGTGTTTATAGAAAGTCCATATATATAGCATGGTTTTCTCTTGTGTTTTTTTAGAAGTAAGGAAAAATACAGAGTTTTATTTATGGGTATGTGTGTTACACAGTTTACTAAAGTGAATTTGTTAGGCTCTTGCACCCCTCTAGTTGATCCTCCGCACCATCACTTGAGTTCTTTTTCTAAAACACAGATCCATTCGTGTCATAACACCACTTAAAACCCTTAGGTAGCAAATTTTCTGTATGTGCTACTTACAATCATGATACTCAGGGCCCTTCTTAGACGTATTGATTTGTTTGGTCACACTTTCCAGCACCATCTTCCGTGTGTACTCTGTGGTGCAGTCACAGGGGGCTAGATCCTCTTATAAGAACAGGCTATACACTTTTCTTGAATTGCTCCCTCTATTAGTCACTTCCTAGACAGGTCTTTCTCCCACTTCCCCTCCCAATACACACACCCTTTGCTTGACAAAATCTTACTCATTCTTCAAGGACAGGTTTCAGTATTGCCTGTAAAAATTTCCCAGAGTTTTTTTTTTCTTAATGAAAGAATGACTTATTTGGGTCTCATTTGGTTGAACACATACCTTAAGAACAGTATTCTCAAATGTGATTGGAAGGGGAGGAGGTGAAGAGGAGTACCAAAGAGGAATGGGGGTAATGATATGTAGTTTGAAGACACAAAAACAAAGTGATTATTTTTAGTTTTGGATATGGAAACAGTACTCTCCTGCTTGTGTAATACAAACTACAAAAGATAAATACAAACAAAATCTTGACAGGTGGAAAAGGATTTTGTATATTCTGAGTATGAAAAAGGAGAGTGGGTGAGACAAGGGTAGGTGAGCCCTAGGGAATGAGATTTTTATGTTTATCAAAAAAGAACATAGCTTACAATGGTTAAGTAGCAACATTCTAGCAACTTAGTAAAGTTCCCAATAAATGCTTATTTTGAAAATGTGAAAATGTCAAATTGAGTTAAAAGTTGTATATTTTAAAACAAGGATAAGGTTTTCTTATTAATTTCTCTTTCAGATGAAATGAAGACTTTTGCAGGACAACAGATTGAACCTCTGTTTCAGTTCTCATGGCTTATAGTATTTCTTACCCTGTTACTTTGTGGAGGCTTTGGTTTATTGTTCGCTTTTACTATTGACCCAAATCTTGGAATAGCAGTTTCATTGAGCCTCTTGGCTCTGTTACATATATTCTTTAGTAAGTCTTTGCTTTTTATCTTTTTTTGAAAATGTCAGAACTCATTGTTTTACTCTGTATCTGTCTCTTAACCTTTTCAAGAGCCTGTTATTTTCTGCTTTGAATTTTTTTCGATAACGTGTGTTTTCATTAATGGAAGCATGCTGAGTCATGGAGTGTACTTAAATATTTGGTTGCTAATATGGATTTTGAGAAATATTATTTGGGGATACATGGGTCCGACAAACTTTGGGGGGTTCTTGGGCACCAGGATTGGTGGGTGCCTGTCTGTCCCACCAGTCCTGGGTGGCAGGGTTTATTGTCTCTGACACACACGCACGCACGCACGCACGCACGCACGCACGCACGCACGCACGCACACACACCCCAAACCCATCAGGGCTCCCTAACTGTTACAAGGAAAATATAAATATGTTTACAAGGCCTGTCTAGCTCTACCAAAGCCAAAAGAGACAAAATTTTTACTGAATCACACTTCCTGGGTATACTACCTCACATTTAAGGCTGAAGCTATTTTGCTTCAATGAACTTTTCTTTCACCTTTCACTGTTACACAAGTCCCAACTGGAGGGCAGCAAATACTTTTAGTGGGAAAAGTAGAATCCCAAGAAACCTGAGAGCTGGAAAAAGTGAGTGGGATACTATGTCCCACAGGTCATAAATGGTTAAAGCCTGTAAGTGATTTTCATAATTTGGTGAGAAAGTTGATCTTTTTGATATTTTGTAAATTGACCTAGAGGAACATTTTCTACAGGCTATCTTGAGTAGCTTTAAAAATGAAGGTACTAGTTATACATATTTAAACAGACCTCTTTAATTTATTATACTTATCCTTTTGTATGTTAATTAACGGTTTACATTTAAATCTTTTCTGAAAATAGGGCTTCATAGCCATTACTAGTTTGTTCTTGGTTGAAGTCAGGCAATAATTGAGCATTTTGATCCTGACTTTTTTTTTTTTTTTTTAAATCCAAAAGCAAAGTAGAAAAATAAAATATAATTCCGGTTCTTGGGATACCTTCAGTTGCAAGGAAAGAAATAGACTGGGCTGTTGAAGGAATTGGTAACTTCAACAGTTGCAAATAGTGATAAACCAAAATCTGAACTACATGATATGTTTCTGTTTAAGACATTGTCTTTCTGATTTGTGTTTCTGAGGTCATATTTAAGTTAGGTTACTTTCCATTTTCTATATACCTTCTGTATGTTGGGGGAGGTTAATTAATTAAATTCTTTATGTAAGCCTACCTGTCATTAATGGTATTTGACTATCAGAAATTTTGTTATTGGAGAAAAGAAGCTACTTGACGAATGATTATTTTGGAAAATTTTTTCAAACCATAAATTTCAGTTGTGATTTACTTTGGTGGACGAAGAGAAGGAGAGAGTTGGAATTGGGCCTGGGTCCTCAGTACTAGATTGGCAAGACATATTGGATATTTGGAACTCCTCCTCAAACTGATGTTTGTGAATCCACCTGAATTGCCAGAGCAAACTACTAAGGCTTTACCTGTGAGGTGAGTTGGTTCCTTTGACAGAAGTAATCTTTAATAAGATGAAGAGAAATTTTTTTTCACTTAATAAAGCTTATAGTGTATCATTTCTCAGTGTATGTTCCAAAAAACATTGGTGCCTTGAACTTTTTATATTAAAAAAAATGCCCTGGTGAAATCAGTTGGAGAAACACTTCATATTTTATCTCCTTCTTGGACATTAAAAGGTCAGGGACACCTTTCTGTAAAAAACCTGTTTAACTTTGATTCACGAAATTTTATTTTGCCATAAACCTTTTTTTTCCCCCTTGCTACTTGTTAATCATCCTTTGGAACATACTTTGAAAAGAGCATTTATTATAGGCACCAACCTAGATCCTTCAAGGAGCCCTGGCACTTCCTCATATTAGTGTATAACTTCGGGCATCTCAGCTGGCTTCTCTGAGCTGTTGTTTCCTCCTCGGTGGAAATACATTTACTTGCCTATATAAAATTATTATTAAGATAAAATAGGAAATAGATGAGAAAACAATTCAGAAAACATTTAAATCAAGTACTAAAGGAAAGATAGAACACTCCAGAGAAAAGTACAGTGAAAGGAAGAAAAAAGAATAAGATGAGAAAATTGAATGCAAAAGAAGTTTAATAGAAGTTAGCTAAAGAATTAAAAATTCACTAAAAGATGAAGATTTTAAAAATTCTTTTGAGATAAATCAGATGAAAATAAAGGTGAATAGGCCAAGTCAGATAAAACACCAAAACCATGAATATAAGAGAGAAAACTCAGGTAAGAGTTTATAAGTAATTAGCATATAGGATTAAGTATTAAGAAAAGGATTTAAAAATGAAAATTTGAAGTGAAAACGTGAAAAAGAAAACAGAATAGAATAAAATAATTGTGGAAATATTTTTTAAGGAGAGTAAAAACATTCTAAATTAATGAGATGGTATTTTTAATAAGTAGGACAATTAAAATAGTATAAACCAAGACCACACAGTATAGAACAGTGTGATCCCAGATTGTATGTTAAAAGGAATGCTTACCTACTGGATTGAGAGGAGAGTTTATTCAGAGATGGAAGGGAGAAAGGAACTAATGCAAAAATAATATTCATTCAGAGACTCAAAGTACAGATAATTTGGTTATTTCCAGGAATAACTGTGAAAAGAATATTTTAAAACATCTTTTTAAATCTCTGGTAGATGCTTCAGATATTCTAAAACCTGAGTTCTTAAATGGCATTCAGAAAAAAAAAAAAGAGCCCCTTGTCATCAAGTCGATTCCAACTCATAGCGACCCTATAGGACATAGTAGAACTGCCCTCTAGGGTTTCCGAGGAGCAGCTGGTGGATTCAAACTGCCAGCTTTTTGGTTGGCAGCTGAGCTGTTAACCACTGTGCCGCGTTGGGCTTGAAATTCTTAATGACTATAATTAATATTTTCTCAAGGTCCCAGTCTCTTCGTTTGGTACTTAGAAAGCTCTCTGTGCAATTCTTTTTGGCTACATTCTGACATACAAGTGCTGCCATTTAAACAGTGTATCATGACATCTGTTGAGATGTCTGATATTCCTTGTCTATGTCCTGTCATAATTTATTTTCACCCTTTAGTTGGAATTACTTCGTATAACTCTGTCACATTTAACTTTTGTTACTGACTTTTTCTAAGAAAAGTGTGTAAGATCTTTACCCTCCTCAGAATTTTAAGAGCAGTATTTTGAAAAAGACATAAATAAAATGGTAAAATGATACAGATATGACATACGTTAAAGTTACTTGTTACTTAGGTATCTGAGTAATATTTTCTTTGGTCTTTTTCCTAAGATTTTTGTTTACAGACTACAATAGGCTGTCCAGCATAGGTGGAGAAACTTCAATGGCTGAAATGATCGCTACCCTCTCGGATGCCTGTGAAAGAGAGTTTGGCTTTTTGGCAACAAGGCTTTTTCGAGTGTTCAAGACTGAAGATACACAGGGTAGGACTTCCTTCTTCTTCCGTTGTTTTTCTGTGTGTGTGTGTAGGGCTTGAGGATAGGATGAATGTTCAAATTTCATTTCATGTCTGTTTATTTTCATGAAAGCATGCCTTGAACATCAGATTCATCATAGCTGTAACTGTAATGGTTAGGATTTTCTAGATACCTGATATACAAATAATTGTTAAAATCATTTATTACAGGTAAAAAGAAATGGAAAAAAACATGTTGTCTCCCATCATTTGTCCTCGTCCTTTTTATCTTTGCCTGCATCATTGCTGGAATCACTCTTCTGGCTATATTCAGAGTTGACTCAAAACATCTGACAGTGAATGCTGTTCTCATATCAGTTGCCTCTGTAGTTGGGTTGGCCTTTGTGTTGAACTGTCGTACATGGTGGCAAGTGCTGGACTCACTCCTGAATTCTCAGAGAAAGCGCCTACATAGTGCTGCCTCCAAACTGCACAAATTGAAAAGTGAAGGATTCATGAAAGTAAGCACTCCTCTGGTTATTTGAAAATTATTGTGGTGTGAGTATGCTGATTATGACTATGATCATTTGAGCTTTAGGCAGTGTACTCTGTAAATGTTAAAAGTGTTGCGTTTAATTTCAGTTTTTTTTCCCCCAAAAAAGTTATCCTTTGGAAATACATATTGAGAGTGAAAAAAATTAATGACATGTTTTTATAAAGTAGACTTTTATAATATACTCAAAGGAATTAGCAGATTTTTCCGTAGGTGGTAATTGTTGCCATTAGCTGCTATCAGGTTGGCCCTGGATTCATGGTAACCCCATGCACAATGGACTGAAATGCTGCCTGGTGGCCCTGCACCATCCACATGATCAGTTGCAGATGGGACCACTGTGCGTAGGGTTTTCAATGGCTGGTTTTTCAGAAGTAGATTGCCAGGCCTTTCTTCTGAGGTGCCACTGGATGGCCTTGAACTATCAACCTTTCAGTTAGCAGCCAAGTGCATTAACCTTTTGTACCACCCAGGAACTCCAGGTGGTAATTCCACCACCACCACCAGTTATGGAGGAGTCAGTCTCGACTCATCCTGACCCTACATGTGTCGGTCTAGCTCCCTCTAGCGCCCAGTAGGGAAAGCAGATCTGTTTTTTAAAAAGAGTAAACCCAACCACCAAAACATAAAATAGAATCAGAGTTTTAGAGCTAAAAGGGACTTTATGGAACTTCTCCAGCCCCGTCCTTTGCTCAAGTTCAGACGCCATCAGGGAGCCAACTATAGTGTGGTGTGTAGATCACTTGGATTTTCATTCAAATCCAAGACTTTTGACATTCAGCACCTGTGATCTTGGCAAGTAAGTCGCTCAACCCAGTTTTTCCTTTTTAAATGGGGTATGATGGTGTTACCTCTAGTGTCACTGTGAGGGTGCAGTGCTTTCACCTGTGCGTGGTCACTTTGTACACTGCAAAGTACTCACTCTGTAGTTTTAGGTGGAACCTTGACTGGCAACTGGTTTTCACTCCCTGTTAAATGATTTTCTATCATGCTTTTTAAAAAATACGTTTAAATTTTTTTTATATCTTTAGTGCTTTCTATTCATTCTTTTGTGCAGGTTCTTAAGTGTGAAGTGGAATTGATGGCCAGAATGGCAAAAACCATTGATGGCTTCACTCAGAACCAGACAAGGCTGGTAGTTATCATTGATGGGTTAGATGCCTGTGAACAGGACAAAGTACTTCAGATGCTGGACACTGTAAGTTTTAATCATATTGAAGCTAGGAATTTTTTACATAGGTGGCAGCTGAGAGGATGCACAACTTCATGAAATATCTCAAATGGAATTTAAACTGTGCTTTTTATTTGAGTAGTACTTGTTTCTATCTTGTGATTCTTTTTTTTTCTTTTTTTGGCGTGTAAAAGCAACCATTTTTCATACAGAAACATAGTAAGAGTGAATGTTTCGGCACAAACAGATTTAAACAGCTGAAGCAACAATTTTAGTTTAATGGCAGTGTGAGGAACAAAAATGAATAGAACGTCTGTTAAGTCCATGGTACGGCTCCAGCTTTCCTTTACAGATAGTTATGGTTAGAGTCAGATGATTATAGGGAACCCATAGAATTTGTAGGGTTTTTGGTTAAAATAGGCTATACCAGCGGCTATCTGCAGGATGTGTTATAAGCAACAATGCGTATCTATAGGCAGAGACCAGGTGGGCCAACTATCTCTTAACATGTATGTTCATGAATATTTCTCATATATGTTGATCTTTTTATGTAGATTGTAAATGTATGTCAGAGTAGGGACGGTATTGTTTTCTTCGCAGGTTCTATCACTGTCAAATGGTGAGAAACCCATATTGAGCATGCAATAAAATGTTTTCTTTTTCTTTTTGTAGAATAATGTTTTTGATAAAAAAGAAAAAGCATTTTCAAAATATGGTAACCAAAGGTTAGCACAGATTCTGAAGAGACGTTTTGTTACATCTGATGATTTAAAATTTATATCACAGCTCTACATTTCTTCTACCACAGGTCCGAGTTTTATTTTCAAAAGGCCCATTCATTGCCATTTTTGCAAGTGATCCACATATTATTATAAAGGCAATTAACCAGAACCTCAATAGCGTGCTTCGTGATTCAAACATAAATGGACATGACTACATGCGCAATATAGTTCATTTGCCCGTTTTCCTTAATAGTCGCGGACTAAGCAGCGCAAGAAAATTTCTTGTGACTTCAGCAACAAATGGGGACATACCGTGTTCGGATCCCGCAGGTGAAGGTCGAGTTCTTTAAGTACCGGTAGTTTGGGCTGGAAGCAGTTTTGTACATTTTCATAGTGACACTCTTTTCATCTTGAGAAATATTGTTGGTATTTCACTCCTCTTTAGCATGTACAACAGAATTTTAATCTCACTGGTGTTCTCTTGATAAATTCTTCCAGGGATACAGGAAGATAGTGATAGAAGAGTTTCACAAAACAGCCTGGGGGAGATGACCAAACTTGGTAGCAAGACAGCCCTCAATAGACGGGTAAGGTGGCATTTCTTTTGAGCCAAATGTTTGTACTGCTGTTATTCAGATGAAATTGAAGTGATGCCACTTAAATAACCTTTTCTAAATATTGCATTAAGCATTTCAAATAAATTTTATCATTGAATTTCCTTTCAGCTTCAGGTTGTCTTTCAGGGAATGTCTGAACCTAGAGCCGTAATAACTGTCAGTTGTATGAGTCCCCATCCTCCTCTCCCCACCTGTCCTTGATCCTAACTGCTTGTTGGAATCACCCCAGAGCCTTAACATGCCCCTCACCCCAACACACACACAAACTGTGCCCACGTGCTACGCCAGACCAATTGATCAAAACCTCTAGGAGTAAGATTTTAAACCTCCCCCAGGTGATTTCATCCAGGTTGAAAACCACTGTATTAATTCCTAGTCAGGTTGAGATGCCCGTTGCCACCATAGTTGTAGGGGATAAAGAAGTTTGTAGCGAGACAGTAGCTCCTTGCTTTCTCTCATCCTTCCTCCTTCCCTAATGTTTGTGAGGTGTGTACTCTTTTTCTGTTTTCCTATACCCACATAGTAATTTTGTGCCCTTTTCAGCCACCTTGAATTTCTCCTTTTCAAACACTTCAGTTGTCCTTATCCTATCCCATCCCTAGGAAACCTCTTTTTGTGTAGGAGGGAGTATTATAAGACAGGAAAATGTCCACTGGCAGGTAGGTTGTAGCAATAATGCCACTTGGTGACAGTTAAGTCATACTAGCATTGACCTTTTTTTTTTTTCTGATTTGCTACCATTAAATTTACAAATTCTACTTTTTAATAAAATGTGTCTTAAGTGACATTTTGATTCTATGTATCCTATATTAATATGGATGCAAAATTAATATGTGGGACAAAATGCTAGTTGGCTGCCCTAAATTAGTAGGAGGCATGGTTTACTGTTGTGAATTTCTGTCCTGAGCGTCTGTACACTTGGACCTCCTTGTGGTTGACCCATCATTCACTTACATTGTGACCCTAGATGAGAGCACGGCTTTGTTGTGCCTGTTCCTCCTTTCATTAGACGGGATCTCCTATTCCACCTGCCCAATAAAATGCCTTTAATTGTTGTGGAGATACGATAGTTCGAGTAGCCCTACTTTCTGCATAATTGTCATACGCTGTAATTTAAAAATCAAAAAGTTGAATTCTTAAAACCATGCGAAGGATTAGTTTGTTTTAGTACTTCATAGTTCCTGTATGTAATGAATTCCCTTGAGAGTTTGGAATATAATTCTCTTTACACAACTTTGTTTACCTATCATTTTGGAGCCATCGAGCTTCCTCTAACTGAACAAATATAAATCAAAATACAGGTGAAGTTAAAGCGTAGCATTTGATGCAGTTGCTGCTAATACTACTTTATAGCTGCTTTTTTGTAAATATTCTGCCTCAGGGTATAGTAATACTACTTTTTATTACTATATAGTCTTCTTTGATTAAAAATTCAAATTCTTTTCTGTGATAGTAAAATTATATTAACTTCTTCAGAAGACTTAAGCCTTAGACTGAAAATATGGACTCATTCTTGTTTATGATAAATTGTTTCAGGATACTTACCGGAGAAGACAGATACAGCGGACAATCACTCGGCAGATGTCCTTTGATCTTACAAAACTGTTGGTTACTGAGGACTGGTTCAGTGACATAAGTCCTCAGACCATGAGAAGATTACTTAATATTGTTTCTGTGACAGGTAACTTCTGTTTCCTGCTGTCTTATGATAAATAATAAGCTTTGACATTAGCAGAGCGGTTTAATTTCAGAAACAAATGGATATATTTATGTTTTCATTGTAAATACCAGTTTTATTTGTGTTAAATATATCAAATGAGGAGCCCTGGTGGTGCAGTGGTTAAGAGCTGCTCCTGTGGAATAGTTCTACTTTGTCCTGTAGGGTTGCTATGAATCTAATGGAACCAGTATTACTTTTGACACTGAAAATCAACCATCAGTTGTATACTGTTATTTTAAAACCTAATAGTTTTTTGAAATTTTTAATTTCATTTCAGATTTTTCTCTTTATTAACATAATTTTATGCTAAAGTATATAACTGACTATAATTAATCTACAGTTTAAAATTTTGAAATTCACAGATTTTATATGCTGCTGTTCTATTTTAGTTTTTATACAATATTTTGAAAAAGAAATATTGACAACAAAATTGAGGGTTCTTACCCTATGACTGAGTTCCTTGCGTGGAATTCTTTTTTCCACAATAATAGTGGTGGTTTTCCACCACCAGTAGTTACTTGCTAATTAGTCTTGAGACAGTCATATCAATACTTGTAATTTAGTTTGTGAAATCTGTGGAATTGTGTTTTAATACTAATGTTGAGGCTCATACTATGGAAATATATTGCAAGTAGGATTGTATCTAATATATTTACAATATTTTAGGCAATTAAATTCCTTTAAATGAGGCTCCAAATTTCATTATTCTTGATTATGTCCTACAATGGAAATGTTCTAGTATTTTATTGTTAACAGTTATGTACTCATCTAACAAATGTATACTGAGTATCTACTGTATGCCAGATATTGGTCTAGGCTTTGTAGAGATGAAGCAGGGAACAAGATAAAAATCTCTCCCTTATTCGGGAAGACTAAAATATATGATGTCATGTAATGATAAATGCCATAAAAAATGAAAAAGTGAGAAGAAGATAACACTTCCCCGCGCTCACTCATTTGATATTCCCACCGACACGCAAACATTGTTATTTCTCCTGGGGGAGTGGGGTCGGTGGGGGAACCTCTTGGCTCTACCTGTAGCTACTGCCCCATTTCTCAGGAAAATTCCTTGGAAGAGAAGTCTATCCCTGTGACTCAAATTCTCCTCCCTCTCTTCCCTCTTACCCTACCTACTCCGATAACCTTTTGCCCTCAGTACTTCAGCAAAATTGCTTTTTTATGGTAACTTCCATGTTACAAAATCCAGTGACCAATTCTTAGTCCTCGCCTTATTTGACCTGTTAGCAGTGCTTGACGATATGTTGATCACTCCCCACTTCTTGGAATTATTTCTTTATTTGGCTTTCATAATGCCACACTCACTGGATTTTCCTTCTACCACACTGATGGTTATTTCTCATCTCCTTTTACCATTTAGCATTGGAATGCCATGGACTCAGTCCTTGGATCTTTCCTTTCCTGTGTAAACTAGCTCCCTTGTTGATCGCATTTAGTCTCCAAGTTTTAAATACCACTTTTCTGTGCTGAAGACTCCCACATGTGTATCCTCAGCCCTGTAGCTGTCCGGTTGCCTGTTTGACATCTAATGATGTCTAATAAGAAATTTCTGAGACTCAACATGTCCAAAATTGAACTCCACTCATAGTCTTTCCCATCTCAGTTAATCCAACTTTTCTCTAGTTCCTTGAGTTAAAAATCGTGAGGTGCTCATTTCATGCACCACCTCCAGTCTGTTAGCTGACTCAACACCAGCTAACAACAATAGTCTTCAAAATATACCCAGAATCAGACCATTTCTCACCATTATTCTCACCTGCATTAATTATTGCAGTAGCCTTCTAACTGGTTTCCCTTCTAACCTTTTCTCTCTACAGTCTATTCTTCATAAGGCAGCCACAGGGATCTTTTTAAAATAGAAGTCACTCGTGGTATTTCCCTGCTCAGAACTCTGCAATGTGTCCCCATCTCGCTCAAATAAAAACCCATCCTTACAATTGTCTGCAAATCTCTTTGTGATCTCTCTCTCCACCCCTGTTCTGCCTCTGACCTTATCTCCTTCCACTCTCCTCTTCCATCCCATGCTGACTTCTTTGCTGTTCCTGGAAATTCCAGGCAAACTACTCCTAAGGATCTCTGCACTTGCTGTTTCTTCTGCCTGTAATGATCTTATTTTCGATATATGCATGGTGGGTTTTCTCACCACCTGTAACTCTTTGCTTGAGTGTTAGCTTTTCAATGGGCCCTTCCCTTGCTATCTTATATAAAATTATATCTCTCTCTTTGGCACTCCTTGATCTGTTTTCTGTTTTATTTTACTCCATAAAACTTATCACCTTCTGATATAGCATACACTTTCTTATTAAATGTCTTTATTGTCTGTTTCCTCTCTGTAGAATACCAGATCCACATGGGCAGGGATTTTTATCTATCTTGTTGATTGCTATTTCCTCAGTACCCAGAACAGTGTCTGGGACATTTTTGTTGAATGAATAAGAGAACTGAGTGAAGTAGGAACTGAGTCTTAAAAGAAAATTGACAAAAGCATTCTAAGCAGAAGGAACAGCAAGTGTAAAGGTCCTGAGGTGGGATTTCATGAACAGTTGGAGGCCAGTATGGATGGAGTTTGGGGAGCAGAAGGGAAGTGATGTTAAAGAAATAGCCAGTGGCTAGTTCATTTTGTGCCTTACGGACCCAACACCCATGGTGAGGACTTTGGATTATGTTAAGACATTTTCAGCCATTTTAAAGGGGATCAAGTAAGTGCATGTAATAGTTGATGTTGAAATATACGTTTGGAAAATGATGTTTACACAGGTCAGAGTAGAAAAAAAGTATTTTCCGAACACCTCATTTTAAATGTAAGCGTTTCTCTTAGTCTTTGACTATATAGCAGACTTTCTAGATTAATTTAAATGAGAAATATTTTTATTTTATTTAATCAAATATAGCTCTGCCTGAAAATGGAAGATTTCTAGTAAAATATCCATTTTATAAAAGTATCTAATGCCATAGTTTCATTGCTTAAAAGTGTTAGGTTAAAAATAACAGATTTAAACCCTTGTATTTTAATGGAATTTTGATAGTTTTCATGATAAATATTTCATTTAGTTGGATAACATTAGTCGGACCTGTATAGGGAAATATTTTATTGGAAGAAATTGAATTTGAAGGCAAAAAGCTTGAGTTTGAGTCCTGAACATATTACCTCTTGAAACCTCCATTTCCTTATGTGCAAAAATGCACAGTGTGTATCTGTTGAGCATTATGCAAATAGGTGCTGCTATTATTAGGAAAGGCATAGACTTTATAAAAAAACACACCAAACCTGTTGCCATGGAGTCGATCCCAACTCATAGTGACCCTACAGGACAGAGTAGAACCACCCCATAGGGTTTCCAAGGAGTGACTGATGGATTCGAACTGCCGACCTTTTGGTTAGCAGCCATAGCTCTTAACCACTGTGCCACCAGGGCTCCAGTCATAGAATAGATGGGACTAATATCAGAAAAGAGTTTGGGATTTTAGTGGATAAAGTACAGGAAATTATTTACTTGAGTGGTTTCCTACTTAAAAAATGCTTTATTTTATCAAACATACTTCATTTTGAGTTTGTTTATTGTGTTATTTTGGAGAATAAAATTTTAAAAAATTTCACACACGTTCATTGGACAAAATTTTCTCTTACTATTACTTTATTTCTTAACTATTATATATTGTTGTTAGGTGCCGTCAAGTTGTTTCTGACGCGTAATGACCCTATGTACAACAGAATGAAACATTGCCTGGTCCCACGCTAACCCCACAATCGTTGCTATGTTTGAGTTCATTGTTGCAGCCACTGTGTCAGTCCATTCCATTAAAGGTCTTTCTATTTTTCGCTGACCCTCTACTTTGCCAAGCAGGATGTCCTTCTCCAGGGACTGGTCTCTCTTGATAACATGTCCAAAGTATGTGAAATGAAGTCTCACCATCCTCACTTCTAAGGAGCATTCTAGCTATACTTCTTGCAAGACAGATTTATTTGTTCTTCTGGCAGTTTATGGTGTATTCAGTATTCTTCGCCAACACCATAATTCAAAGGCTGCAATTCTTTGGTCTTCCTTATTCATTGTCCAGCTTTCACATGCATATGAGGTAATTAAAAATATAATGGCTTGGGTCAGGCATACCTTAGTCCTCAAAGTGACATCTTTGTTTTTTAACACTTTAAAGAAGTCTTTTGCAGCACATTTGATCAATGCAATATGTCATTTGATTTTTTGACTTCTAACTTCCATCAGCATTGAGTGTGAATCCAAGTAAAATGAAATCCTTGACAACTTCGATTTTTCCCCTATTTATCATGAGGTTACTTACTGATCCAGTTGTAAAGATTTTTGTTTTCTTTATGTTGAAGGGTAATCCATCCTGAAGGCTATAGTCTTTGATCATCATCAGTAAGTGCTTCAAGTCCTCTTTGCTTTCAGCAGGTAAGGTTGTGTCATCTGCATATTGCAGGTTGTTAATGAGTCTTCTTCCAATCCTGATGCCAACATTCTTCTTCATATAGTCCGGCTTCTCAGGTTATTTGCTCAGCATACAGATTGACTAAGTATGGTGAAAGGATACAGTCCTGATGCCCGCCTTTTCTGATTTTAAACCACGCAGTATCCCCTGGTTCTGTTTGAACGACTGCTTCTTGATCTGTGTCTAATTCTGCATGAGCACAATTAAGTGTTCTGGAATTTCCATTCTTCCCAATGTTACCCATAATTTGTTATGATCTACACAGTAGAATGCCTTTGCATAGACAGGAAAACACAGGTAAACATCTTTCTGGTATTCTCTGCTTTTAGCCAAGATCCATCTGATATCAGCAGTGATATCCCTCGTTCCATGCCCTCTTCTGAATCCACCTTGAGTTTTTGGCAGTTCCCTGTTGATGTGCTACTGCAACCATTTTTCAGTTACCTTCAAGAAAGTTTTACTTGCGTATGGTATTAATGATGTTGTTCGATAATTTCCGCATTCTGTTGGATTACTGTTCTTTGGAATGGGCACAAATGTGGATCTCTTCCAAGACAGTTGGCCATGAAGGTGTCTTCCAGATTTCTTGGCATAGATGATTGAGCACTTCCAGCGTTGCATCCGTTTATTGAAACATCTCAGTTGGTATTCCGTCAATTCCTGGAGCCTTGTTTTTTGCCAGTGCCTTTAGTGCTGCTTGGACTTCTTCCTTCATTACCATCGGTTCTTGATCATATGCTACCTCCTGAAATGGTTGAATGTCAACCAGTTCTTTTTTGGTACTACGACTCTGTGTATTCCTTCCATCTTCTTTTGATGCTTCCTGCATCGTTTAGTATTTTGCTGATAGAATCCTTCAGTATTGCAACTTGGCAACTCGACACTTGAATTTTTTCTTTAGTTCATTGGCAAGTGTGTTCTTCCCTTTTGGTTTTCTAACTCCAGGTCTTTGCACGTTTCATTATAATACTTTGTCTTTTCGAGCTACCCTTTGAAATGTTCTGTTCAGCTTTTACTTCATCATTTCTTCCATTCGCTTTAGCTACTTTACATCAAGTTTCAGAGTCTCTTCTGACATCCATTTTGGTCTTTTCTTTCTTTTTGATGACCTTTTGCTTTCTTCATGTATGATGTCCCACAGCTCATCTGGTCTTAGCCACTGTGTCACCAGAACTCCTCAATGTTGCAACCACATTTTAATACCTTCTTGTTGTTAGTTGTTGTTGAGTCGATTCTGACTCATGGCGACCCCAGGTGTGCAGAGTAGAACTGCACCGTAGGTTTTCAATACTGTGACCTTTTGGGGGGCAGATTGCCAGGTCTTACTTCCGAGGGGCTTCTGGGTGGATTTGAACTGCCAGCCTTTTGATTAGTAGTCTCACGCTTAGCCATTTGTGCTACCTTCTAGTTGCCTGGTTTTATAAAAATTTTAGTGGTACGCGAAACTATAAAAAAGCTGCCAAAGCCGAAACCTGTATAAGGCAGAAACCTATCAGAGAAAGAAAATCCAAATATTTCCCACTAAAAGGAGCAATAGAAAAGTGGGAAGACTGTACCCAGCTTATCACTGGGAAGTGCTGTCGAGTTCCAGCTCTCACAGGTTTTGCTGTATTTACACCCCAGTGAGTTGATGTCTTCTTCTCTTGTCACACAATATGTAATTTATTACATCCTCTCTTGTTTACTTGCCTTCTCCACCAGAGGGTAAGTTTCATGAAGGCCACAACCGTATCCATTTTTTAAAGCATTTTACCCCCAGCATTAGTGTATCATCAGTTGTGATATTCCACTGAATTTGCATTGCTCTCAAAGGCTGTGGATGGGGCTCAGTTCCCACTTCCCTGTGGAAAAAAGAATCCAGTGGTGATAATGAAGTCTGTGTATATAAGCAGATTGGCTGAGGAAGTGAGGGTATGGGGATATAAGTAGAATTAGATAGAGTAGGTAATCTGTATCAGTATCTAGTAGGGATTTACTTCCCGTATATATCTGTTTAGTAGTAGGGAAAGGGATAATTCATATTTGAACCAAAACAGGTAGGTATCGTATTCTAGATGTAAACTAAACTGATAATGATGAAGTACAACTGATATAATTAAAAAGCAATATCAGCAATTGAAAATATCAACTCAAAACTGATGATTTAATGAAACAACGTCTCCTTTCTGAAAGTATGAGAATTGCAACTGTCTGTATGTAAGCACACATAGTGGTAGAACACAGAATTAGGGTCCCAGAAAACCCCAGCAACGGACCGGGCTTTTTCCACATATATATAAATAACAACTTTTAGAAACACGTTACAACTCACTTGGTAGGTTACTTGCATAGGCAGCCCTTAGTACCTAAAAATGAAAGTGTTTGGGGTTGCGCATTCACCCATAAATACTGAAGACTGAACTAGCATATTTGTATCTGTTTAAGGTCCAGCAATAGAATCTTAGCATATAGTCCTTTAGAGGCTTGGAGCCCATCGTGGGTAAATTGGTGTTCTACTCTCTGATCATGTGCAGCATCTAGACAGTGTCTGGCATATAGTTCTGAAAGATTTTTGTCTGCACGTATGTGGTCAAAGCAGTATATAGGACCATGGCAAGTCACACATACACACAGAAATTACTTTAGAATTAAACAGAATTGTGTCTAAGCCCTAGTAGTATAACTCTTTGGAATATAGAAGCCATATAAATACTGGGTTTGAATTTGTAGTATAAATTAAATGCCAAAATTTAAAGATTTGAAGTTGTTTTTTATGTATGAATATGCTAAATGTTTAGTAGTACTCATCCATTAATTTTCAAATGCTTTTGTATTCCTTAAAGGGCGATTACTGAGGGCCAATCAGATTAGCTTCAACTGGGATAGGCTTGCTAGCTGGATCAACCTCACTGAACAGTGGCCATACCGAACTTCATGGCTCATATTGTATTTGGAAGAAACTGAAGGTGTTCCAGATCAAATGACGTTAAAAACCATTTATGAAAGGTACTTTGACTTCTTTATATTTATCTTCAGATTGAGTTAACTTTTCCAAAAAAGTTAATGCATATAAAGCAAAATGAATACATATAAATATGAATAAAATGTGTGCATCCAGATTAAGTGAATCATTGTCGTTATTTTCCGTGATGATTTTGGAGTTGTATTAACACAGGTGTATTTTGCACCATGTAAAATTTACAGCCTTATTTGGATATATTCTTTCTTTTTCAGTATGCAGCCTGTGTACTAAAATAATGTTTAATTACTAGTTAGTTGTATTGGCTTTATGTATTTACATGTATGAAATGCAAACATTAAAACATTATTATTTATTTCCATTTTACTTTTTATTCTAAGTGTCTTCATACATTAAAGAGACTACATTTTCCAAGTCATTAGTGGGGCATTTTTCACAGCTTTCTATCTGGAAGACTCTAGATTGTGAATACTGGCTGGAAAAAATTATTTACGTTAAACAGTAAAGGAATTATTATTCCTTTATAGTAAATCATTTGAAGTACTTCTAAAATTTCTACTTCTGATAAAAAAAAATTGATTAAAATTTTTTCTTGAAAAACCTGCACTTAAGACTCAGTGAAATGTACATTTTTAAGAGTTATCAGTTTCTTGTCAAATTGACAAATGAAGTTATTGTAGTTTTATGCAGATAAAACACACACCTTCTACTTTTTTTGCCAACCGTGGCCCCCTCACAAGGAATTTTCGTGAGTGCTGCTATGCCAATTTTTTTTACATGTTGCTGTGAAAAAAACTAGCACAGCATGATTCTGAAAATACCTCGTGGGGGGTTGGCAAAAAAAAAAGGAAGGCACGCATTATTTGCGTAAAAATATGGTATAACCCTTATTGTTTACCAGAGCATTTCAGTTCCTTCAAAGGTTTTAACTACTACCCTAAGTATGCTGTCTCTTAGAAAAAAAGATAATACAAAGGAACTGTACAAACAATTTTATAAAATTAGGTGTAACTGAAACTGCTATTTAAAAAATATAATTGAAAAGGAAAGCCTTTTAAATATTCTTTTATTTTTTTTAACATTTTTTGTTAAACATTTTTGTACTTTGTGTTTTAACATAACTAGCCAGTCTCTTTTCTAGCTAATCATCTCTAAAGTTGCTGTTTCTTACTGACAGTAAAGATGATTCTGTGAAAAAATATATATATAATTGAGATTTTAAATCTAACAAAGCATTTAGTGTAGATAAGTTCATATATTAAAACTTTTAAGATTTCAAATGATTTTTTTTCCCTTAGAGTTTTGTCAGCATATGGTTTTCTTTATTTTAATCCCCATTTTTCATGTACATGTTTTATTTAATGTTTTCTAGATAAATAACTGATTTTAAAATTTAATCAGTGTTTTTTCAGAAGTAGAAATTTAAAAAGTACTTCAAATGACTTACTATAAAAGAACAATAATTCCTTTACAGTTTAAGGCAAATGAAGGCTTGTTTGTTGTATTAATTTACAGATTTGGGCTCTTCTTCATTTTGCCATGTTTAATTTGTGCTAAATTAAATCAGTCATTCAGAATTTGTGTGCTTTGTTAAGTAAGTGTTCTGGTAGATGGCAGTGATACATACTTCTTGTAGACCTGGGGAAAAGCGGCCTTGAATTGCATCTGGTCTTTGATATTTTAGAACTTATCTTCTTAAAAGATAGGTGATTGGTTTCTTCTGTGGCTGTGTAGTAAAATATTGTTTTATTTCATGAATAAATGTATCATAACATAGGTGCTGTGTAATTATGAATGCTTGCTAGATATGAATAGTCATTATAAAGAGTTCCATCTTAACTTTTTAAAAGTTTTAGCTGCTTAATAATAATTCATACCAATATAATGGGATATATTTTTCACATGGTATGTTTATACATGAAAGCCCTATTGAACATAAACAGGTAGTACTTTTGCACCTCTCATTTTATCCTTGAGAAATATATTGTTATTATTTGTGTATATATGTGAAAATACGTCAGAGAAAAGGATAAGCCTTTGTTTAGGGCTTGAACTAGATTTGAAGATAGACAAAACTTCAGATAAAGTGAAGGGATGGCTTAGTAAAGAATGTCTGACGTGATTTGAGGCTGTGTTAGATTCTTAGAGTCTAAGTTGATATTGTTCCTAGAGTAATACATGTGGTTTCTAGAAATTTGAAAACTTGGAAGCAGGAGAGCTAGTTGTCTCATAGCCAGTAACCAGTTGCCGTCAATTCCAACTCATGGCGACCCCATGTGTTACAGAGTAGAACTACTCCGTAGGGTTTTCTTGGCTGTAATCCTCACGGAAGCAGATCACTATGCCTTTCTTTCACGGTAATGCTAGGTGGGTTCGAACTGCCTGCCTTTGGGTTAGTAGCCAAGCAGAAACCATTTGTGCTACCGAGGTACCTTTAATACATACACCAAAACCAAACCCACTGCCATCGAGTCGATTCTGACTCATAGCAACTCTATAGGACAGAGCAGAACTGCCCCATAGGGTTTCCAAGGAGCAGCTGGTGGATTCAAACTGCCAACTTTTTGGCTGGCATCCGAGCTCTTAACCAGTGCGCCACCAGGGCCCCCCTTTAGTACATAGTAAGTGCTTATTGGAAATTTGTTTCCTCTCTGACCTTTTCTTTTCTTCTATGTAGTGATTGTTCAGTAAATATTTGTTGCTTTGTTAGTATTTTTACTTACGGACGTCATTGAAATGAGTGTATCTAAGAACTAGTCCCTAGTGCACTCACATTATTTCTGTAACTGTACACGTCACACTTAATTGAAAATGGTTATGCATGTATACATTAAAAGGAAAACTGCTGCCATCAAGTCGACTCTGACTCGTGGCAGCCCCACGTGTGTCAGAACACAGTTGTGCTCGATAGGCTTTTTAGTGGCTGACTTTCTCAGAAGTAGATTGCCAGACCTTTCTTTTGAGACACCTCTGAGTGGACTCGAATGAACGTCTGAACTTTTGATTAGCAGCGAAGTATGTTAAGCGTTTGCACCACCCAGGGACTCCACGTGTATACATAGCTGTATGCAAGCTTTTTCTAAAACACTGTTTTGTTTCAGGGTGAAAGGAGGAAGCACAAACTACTTTCTTTCTCTCTCCCTCCCACCTTTCTTCCCCCCTCCCCCTCCCCTCCCCACTGTCCTCTCCCCC